CAGTTCTTGTAGAACCGCCTTTTACACTCATCACTGATGTGCTCAGCAAATACTGTCTTGAAGGTGCGGAGACCTCGTGGGGTTTCGACATATCCCACAATGCCCACAACTACCATAGGTGGTGTTTCCACAATGGTTACAGCCTCCACGACTTCTTTCTTGTTTACCTTGGATCCTGGTCTGTCAACCTCCCCGACAATGTGGGTCATGCCAGCCTTGTAGCCTAGAAAGGCTGTGAGGTGAACAGGCTTGGAAGGGTCATCCTTGGGGAAGCTCTTCACTTTCCCACGATGCCTGCTGCTGCGCTTCCGCGGCAAGAAGCCCAAGGACCCATGCCTGGGAGCAGAGAACTTCCTGTGAGACATCTCTCATCACACGCCGCCGCCGATAGAGCGGGCACTCAGTTTTTGATGTATAAGGTTGGAGATACATTCAAGCACAGTAAGCCGCAGCAAGGATCTTCGCTGTCTGACCTCTGAGTTCAATGCTTCATAAATCACACCAGCAACCCTTAGTGTTGCTTCAGTCATCCATGATAGGATGTTTCTAGAATGGATTCCATCATGTCTCTGGAAACAAGGAATCCAAATTCACCAATGTGGTAGGCACACCAAAAGAGACTCCAGAACCAGCAAAAAATGGTTTGTATTTCTTCACATGCAGTCTCCAGATGTAACCAGGGAGTCTTTAAATAGTTGCATCCATTAAATCTTCTGAAAATATCAAAGAAATTATTTCAAATGAATTGCTCCCTAAATTAGTAAAAAAAAAAAAAAACCTTACGTAGTGAGGTTGTGGGTCTATAGCACATGCGTCTCTTGAAGATCTTGAAGTAATTGTGGTGCATTTGCTCATCAGTTAGCGGACCCAGACTTCTGAAGCAGAGTAGCCTGGTACTCGTTGTGTGTTCTTTCGAGTATGTTCTGTGTATAGCTTTCCCTCTCACAATTCCCTCTCTTCTCATCCTTCAAAGGCCAGCAGTCCTCACCCACTGTGCTTCCTCCACAGAGCCACCCACCACGCTACTTTCCTTGCCTGACCCTAATGAGTGTGCAAGAAACCAAACTATTTGGAAAAGAAAGCCAGAGCCTTGGTAAATGAACCACGGTTAAATTCCAGAACTGTTTTCTGTTCTCTATGTTATTTTAAAGTTAAGAGAGTCAGCAACCAAGGAACTCACAAGTGTCCAGCAAGAAAGTGAATTTATTAGAGACCAGGAAGAGAGGGACAAATGAGCAGCGAACTTAGACAAAGCTACCTAACAGTGGCACCGTCCTGTGAACTACTGGAACTGGTTCCTACCTATGAATCATGTGCATTTCTGGCCTGTGCATCTGTAGATTTACTTTTAAGTAAGTGCCTTTGGTTTTCTTTAGATTTTGTTCCAGGTACATCAAAGGCCATAAAACTAATGAGATAAAAATTATAAAGGAAAATGATACGCTCAGTTTCTTCACTTGTTTTATGGAGATTTATGGTCAGACCCATGGTTAAGCCTACTTGGGTTTAGGATGAGCTAAGATCTGAGATGGTGAAGCATCCCAGTGAGCCAGACACCAAAGGCTTGCTGGGACCCCGCCCACTATGCACTGCCTGGTCACAGTGCTGCTTTGACTGGGTGCCTACTCCTCTGTAGCTCAGCAGTGTGGGTTATTGATCGAGTAGGACCAATAACCCTCAAGGAGGGTTTTTTCCCTTTTTTTTTATTTTAATTCAATTTAGTTACATCAATTTTCTGTCTTCCCTTTCTTACTTCTAGCTTCTCTCATGCCCCCTCTTGGCCTCTCTCCCTCTCAAATTGGTGGCCTTCTTCTTTAATTAGTGTGTGTGTAGTGAAAATGATTCTCATGTGTGTGTATGTGTAGTGAAAATGATTCTTGTGTGTGTGTGTAGCAAAAATGATTCTCATGTGTGTGTGTGTAGTAAAAATGATTCTCGTGTGTGTGTGTGTGTGTGTGTGTAGTGAAAATGATTCTCATGTGTGTGTGTGTGTGTGTGTGTATTTGAATGCTTGTTTCCCAGTTGGCAGACTGTTTAGGGACGACTAGGAGGTGTGGCCTTGCTAGAGGAGTTGTGTCACTGGGCTTTGAGTTTCAACCACAGCAGACCCAGTCGTACTCTCACTGCTCTCTGCCTTCGGATCAAGAAATAAGCGCTTAGCTTGGCAATCGTGTTTCATCAGAGTCAAAAAACAGTAACTAAGTGATATACACATTCATGCGTAAATGTGTACACACACCTCACTGAATCCCTTGTGTGTATATGATTTCAGAGATGACCATTTTGTATTGGCTAAGCACTTAGAAGTCTCACCCCTGGGAGAAGCTAACTCTCCCTCTCTCAACAGTCATGAGTCATCTGTGGTTCTTTGCTTGGAGTGGGATTCTGTGAGATTCCCTTTCTGTATTAGCATGTCTATTGGTATTTTTGAGGCTTTAATGGGATAACATACATAATAAAAAACCAACTATCCCAGGTCCTGGCATATTTGGGGGAATGATACATAACTAATACTCTTTTATTTCCAATTACATGCCTAGAGACATTCATCTAGGTTTATAAGATTCTTGGAAATCTGTATGTATATTTAATACAATCTGTAATAAACATGAACATATTTATAAGCTAATCACACTTTATTCTAGATTCTAATTTTAAGCCAAAAACGTCTGTTCCATTCTGTGCTGTGGTGTTAGCTACAAGACACTTCAAACATTTGCAAAGTCAGGGATGCAGCTTGAGATGTGCTGACAGCCAAACGCAGGCACCAGATTTCAAAGATTAAGTACAAAACAAAGTCTCGGCCTCTTTAATACTGATTACTCTTTTAAATGTCACTTTGCATATGGTGGAATAAATCAAGTGTCTTATTAATATTAATTTCACCTGTTTCATTTTCTTTCTCTTTAACCTACTTATTTCTATATAAAATTATAAATTACATCTATACTCTATATTATATTTCTATTAGACAGTGTTAACTCAAAAGATAAAGACCCAGAAGTATACCAAAGGAATCACAGAGGTGAGGCATTTACCACCTCCGCTAACACCCCATCCTGAGGCCAGACTCATAGAATTCACTCACACCCATTTTTAGCTTAGTTCTCTGATTACTGTGCTGGCACAAACTCTGCTCTTTGGTTTTTCTCCTTTTCTTTTTTTCTTTTCTTTTAAGTCAGGGTCTCACTATGAGGCCCAGACAGACCTGGAAAGGGTGATCTTCCTACCTCTACCTCCACATCCTGGGATTACAGACATATGATGCTCTTGGGCAAAGCTCCGTGAACATCACACAGAAAGGTCTACAGCCCTGTTCCCAACCTGGTTCACCACATTCAGAAGCTAGCAGACAAGGGGTGGTTAGTGACTTTTGAACTGGACAGCTCATCCTTAGAGCATGATGGCCCTAACCCTTTACTACAGTAAGAGAGTGGTTTGGGGCTGGAGAGAAGGCTTGGAGGTTAAAGCAGGTGTTCAGTTCCAAGCACCTATGTCATGTGGCTCATAACCACCTCTAACTCCAGCTTCAGAGGGTCTGACTCCACTGTTAGCCTCAGAGGACATCTATAATTACATGCAGGCACACACAACTTAAAAACAATAAAAATAAACCATGGGGGGAAAAGATAGCTACCCTGATAAATCAGGGAAATTTTCAAAACAATAAGAATATAGCTTCAGCCTTACAAAACAAAACAAAACCAGCTCAAGCCATGCTCTCTGAATCTGAGAGACACCTGCATCCTTAAGTATTGAGGTTACATTGCTAACCTGTATTTAATTTCTGTTTGCTAGTTTGGGCTGGCTTAGCAATAAAACATCTTTATCTAACAAGAAACTAACAAATGAGAAAAAAAAGACTTCCCGTTTAAAGAAACCAACACAATTTCTCCTGTGCTACTGTTTTCTAGGTATTTTGATCCTTGAAGAATTCAGAGGAATTTTCCTTGATTGTCTACAGACCAGGTATAGAAGACCGTCACCTGCAGAATCTGAATCAAAGACTATTCTTTTGAATTTATTTCATATAGTGACTTTCAATGATTAACACAGGGTTTTTTGTTGTTGTTGTTGTTGTTGTTTTTGTTCAAGTCACAAACTATCAGACAACAGGCTTCTTGGTGTCTAAGACTCAGTTAGGCTCCTCTACACAGAAAGGGGGTGTGCTCACATTCGAGCCCTGTAACATCGTCTGCAGATAATTTTTAAAGTCCTGAGATGGCCTTAGGACATAGCGTGCCTACCTAGCACATATGAAGCCTGAGTCCTCTCCCCAGCACCAAATCAAACCAGACATGGTGTCTCAGGCGGTGATCCTAGCACTCCAACAATAGAGACCGGAAGATCAAATTTTAGTTATCCTCAGCACATAGTGAGTTCAAGGCCAGCCTGGGCTACATGAGGCCCTATCTGTGAGTGATTAAGTAAGTGTTGCATTAATAGGAGCGGCGGCAGGGCTGCGTCCCCGGCACCCGGCACCCGGCCGCCCGCATGGCTAGCTTATGCCCAAAATAATTACACAGAAACTGTATTCTATTAAGCACTGCCTGGCCCGGCTAGTTCCAGCTTCTTATTGGCTAGCTCTTACATATTGTTCTAACCCATTTCTAATATTCTGTGTAGCCCACGAGCTGGCTTACCAGGGAGGATCTTAACCTGCGTCTGTCTAGAGCGGGAGAATCATGGCGACTCCTCTACTCAGCTTCTTTCTCCCAGAATTCTGTTCTGTTTACTCCACCCACCTAAAGGTTGGCCTATCAAGGGGCCTAGGCAGTTTCTTTATTAATAAGAAATCACTCCCACATCATTTCCCCTTTTTCTATTTAAACAAAAAAAAGGCTTTAACTTTAACATAGCAAAATTACATATAACAAAACAGTTATCAAGTAAGAATCACAGTTACAATATATATATATATTTTATATTTTATCATAACTAAGGAAAACTATAACTATCTATTCATTCTTTAACTCCATCAAAGACTCCAGAAGGATATAATATTACCTAAGTAAACAAGAAATAAGAAAACTCTAGACAGAGACATCTCGCAGCCTGGACAGTCACCCAAAGTTCCTCTGTACCATTGGGGCATCCATCTTTGGCCTTCAGGCCCATAGTATCCAGCAGACACCTCCACGAAGCAGGAAATTCCAAAGATAGTTCAGTCACTTTCTGCTGTGTCCTGCAGAATGTCTTCCAGACTCTTCCATGAAGCAGGTACCCCGAAAGACCATCTCACCTTTAGGCAAGTTCAGTAGTCCTCTCTCTGTGTCCAGTTTATGTAATAGTCCAGGCAAGAGCAGTTTCTTGCCCAAATGGCTATCAAATTCCATTAGGATCCTCTTCGATGCCCATCTTCCTCTTGAAGTAGATTGGTG